TTTTCACCAGCGAAAAGGCAAACGTATAATATTGAAATTTTTATTGGGGACGTTACTTTTTCCAATAATTTCTCATATCCAGGCGAAGTGGGCAGAAATAGAAAAGTAGCAGCTGGCACACGCATAATGGAAGTAATGTTGATTTAAGGAAAAAATTAATCTGTTGTGCGTCTCCTCAGAGCCCAGCTTTTGTTGGGGTCGCTTTTCCAATTACATTTTTTTATCGCCAGGAAAAAGGGGAAACATGTGAGGCTGAAACTGGGCGCATGGAGTTCCCTGAGTCTCCTTTTCAGAAGAAATAAAATTTTCTTGAAAACCCGTCAGGGCACTCTTTTTCAGTCACGTTTTCCTGAATTTTTTTTAATCAAACGAAACAAAGACAAAAAATATAATCTTCCCTCAAAAGTACCTGTTTGATTGCTGAGTACAAGAAAAATCCTAGATTTGAAATATGTCCCTTTGCGTAGACTATGCAATTGAAGTATTTCAAAATGTATTCTCCACCCTTACAAAAAGGGACACATGAAAAGATTTCAACTTAGGCACATTAGAAATAATGGAAAGATAGATTTTGATAAAAATCAAGACTTTCGTCCCCATATGTCACGTATTTCAATGGGGACGTACTTTAAATACGTGTTTGCCATTTCGCAAAGAATAAATGAAAAAATCACTATTCAAGGTAATGAGTGTCGAAGGCAAGACCATAACGAGTTTGTTTAGCCCGAAGGGCAAACAAACTCGCTAGTAAGTATATATGTACAGAATTCTCGTTTCAAAATACACTTTCAGAACATATCCGACACTTTCCTGTCACATCCGACGCTGTCACAAAACAGGCTTACAATATGTTTCAAGTGTTGACATCTGGGGGTGACTTACACTAATTTCTTACACTAAAGTGTTCATTCAATCTATAGAATGAACATGAAACTAAATTATGAGGATCCGCTCGATGACAGATATGTGTACAATGTGAATATATATGTGAATGTGATGAAACATTAGTGCAAGTGACTTTAACTTAAGGTTCGCGAAAGATCGAATTTTCTTTGTATCTCTAACGTAAGAGAGAGTGGAAGACTTTGGATTATGGGATTTTCAGTGACCACCCAAAGCTTCATATGCTGATTCACAGGCTTCATATGCTGATTCGTAATCCATAGCATAGTTCAATACATTTTGTATGCTGAAAATATTACTCCAGATGACACATCCGACACCGTGGACAGACCCTAACATGTTAATACATCTACACGGTCATTCTGGAGCAAGGATGTGAAGCGCCCCATCCCTGAAGGTCATAGCTATGACCTTCCCAGACATGCGCACTGTATTTGACTCAGGTTTTCTGACAAGTCAGGGTTGGCAGTACCACAAGTGAAATTGGAATAAGGAAATGAAATTCAGCAAAAAAACATTAACCTACTTCAAATAATTTCCCAATTCCCTTGAAAAAATAAGCAGGTAGAGTCGGTGAGTAAGGAGCAAAAAACGACAGTGCCTAATCTTACATCATTTTTTGCTCATACCTATACGATGGCTGAAAGGGAAGTAAAGTTATTTGGCTCGAGTTTTGGGCTTTGCGTATTCAAGTGACCTGTAACTTAGGTACATTGGTAGTGCGTTTGTGTCGCTATTTATCGACATAGTCGCCGTGGAGATTCAAACATGTGTCCCATCAGTGCAACAGTTCGTCGTTGCATAAAAGGCAGAGTCCTGTGTTCGTAACCACATCACCAAATCCGCTTCCACGTTTTCACCAGACGGGAAGAGGCGTCCACTGAGGTGTTTTTTTAACGACCCAAATATATGGAAATCCCATGGTGCCAGGTCGGAACTTTAAGGTTGGTGTTCGAAGACCTCCCATCGACACCTCTGCAACAGCTCCTGTGTGTGACGAGCAGTGTGGGTACGTGCGTTGTCTTGTAACAAGTTTACCAAGTGATGACAGTGTTTCAGAGTATACAGTCGTGGCCAAAAGTTTAAGACCATATCTCGAATTTTAGTTTGTGGCAACAAATCGCATATTTACTCGGAATTAATCTTCAAGAGCTGATTTTATTGTTTGAATAATCCAACATCAAAGGCTTTTAGACTATAAGCACATGCTTTTTCTTTACAGAATTCTCAGAACAGTCAATATTTAGTATGTCCTCCATTACATTTAATAGCCTGCTCCAAACTGTGTATCCTAACATCTTTGATTGCTGTTTCCAGTTCTTTGGCACTACTTGGCTGTTTATTGCAACTTTGTCATTGAGAACGACCCAGAGATTCTCTATGGGGTTCATATCAGGACTGTTCCCAGGCCAGTCAAGGACTTTGATACTCTTCTTCTTCAAGAACTCAGTCACAATGTTAGATCGATGGCAAGGCGCACCATACTCCATGAAAATCTTGCACTTATGTACGGCCATGTGCAGCTCCAAATTGTCTTTCAGTAAATCAACGTACTTTTGGCCGTTTATGGTCGTCCCGGTTGGTAAGAAAAAGAGTCCAGCCGTTCCGTTGACTGAGATGGCGCCCCATATCATGACAATCGGCGGGTGTTTCATAGTTTGTACTGTGTACCGTTTATCAAATCTTTTTCCAGTCGGCCTCCGGACATAGCGCTTGCGTGCGGGGAACTGCTGGATGGCAGATTCGTCCGAAAATAACACTCGGTTCCACTGTTCAGCGGTCCAATTCACGTGTTTTTTCGCAAAGGCCAGGCGTTTGATCTTCATAGCCGGTGTGAGACGTGGTTTTTTCGCCGGTTTGCACGATTTCAAGCCAAATTCTTTGATCAAACGTCCACTCACGGTTCTGCGACTTACATCCGTACTTTTTGCGAGAAGTGCTGACCGTATCTTGCTCGAGGAACTCATTGGAGACCGAACAGCTATCCTCCTTGTGGAGTGGTCGTCCCTCGGTGTGGTCTTTCGTGGACGCCCAGACCGCTTTCTATCCGAAAAAGTCCCCGAATTCGCAAATTTCACGACTGCATTGTTAACGGCAGTCTTACTGCACTTTAACTTCTCACTAATCGCTCGTTCAGAATATCCTTCCTGGTGAAGAACCAAAATTTGTGCCCTCTGGACTTCCGTGAGTGACGCTTTTTTACCCATTTTCGTGGGTTTTTAGAAAAGGCAAAACACAGCGAAATGCGGCGTAATACAGTGTTTACTGCGTGATGGTCAATTGAAAAGTGACTGCAATAGGCCATCGTAAGGATGACGAAATCTCATGCAATCTATTTCATTTCTGATGCAATCACTGTGTTCAGAAGAAACAAGTACATTTTCTCAAGGGTGGTCTTAAATTTATGGCCACGACTGTATGTTGGGGTTGATGGTCCCATGATGCAAAACTCCACCAATGGAACACCATCACGATCCCAGAACCCATCATGATCGGTGGCCATCACCCGCAAAGGAGAAGCTGACGCACGTCGGAACTTTATTTTTGCAGACGAGCCGGGATGTTTCCATACCATGGATACTTGTTTACTCTCGTGCGTGAAGTGGTGCACCCATGTTTCGTCGATTGTGACCGCGCGCCGCGAAAATGTGTTTCCATTTTCAGCATCCCGCTGCAGGCCAGAGAGGCACACATCATGCGATGCGCCTTGTGGTTGGTTATAGCTCTGGGCACCTAGTGCGCAGAGACTTTGCGGTACCCCAGCACGTCGTAGACAATGTCGAACTGCCGAACATCATCCACTTATGAGGTGCTGACATCCGTTGTGGATGTCCTCCGGCGTCCACTCTGTGCTGCATCGTGAACATCTTTCCAGCCATCTTCAAACCTGCTGCACCATTCAACAGCATTCAACAGCAACAGCGCATTCTCCAGCGCCAAGACAATGTAACTGTACACTTCTGTCAACTCTCTATGGAATTAATTCGGGGAAAAATTATTCGCCCAAAGGAAACATATAATACAACGCACTTCTGCGCGGGACAATTATGTTTTTCTCCACTTTGGCACTCTATACCTATGCTCCGCATAGGTGACCTTAGATCTCTCGCTGTGTTGAGAACTGGAAACGTTCGAATGTATCTACTGCACTACACGTTATCCCCCTGGCGTCATTTTGGTTTCACTGGCCAACTTACTCTTCCTTCCGACCAGCAGTCATAATTTCTCTCTCCCGACTGCCGGTCGGAATGAGGAAAATTAAAACCAGTAATTCATAAGATCTTCATTAGAAAGAGCTCAGTCTTGATTCAGAAATGTTGGAATTTGCATAGGAGCACAATCCAAAACAATCATTCGCCTATTAAACTTCTTCTCACAAACTCACTATGCACAACAGTGTAAAGTATTCAGACTCCATGAACGACATTTTTTCCCAATATGAAAGAAAATTCTCAAAACAACAAAATAACTGTACAGCGCTAGGAGGATTTGAACTGAAACGAAATGTATCCCATTGGTTTTTGACCAGCTGAAAAACTTAAGTATCCAAACTGAGCCAGTTACGACGTTGAATAATGCAAGTGCTAATTACAAAGGAAACAGGCAAAAATTTCGGACTAAACAGAACTGGCATCAAATGTTACTTGCCGTATTCATCCACACCTTGATGCAAATAAAAATTTCATGAAATAGTAAAAAATAGTCGAAGTGGGTCTCTTACGGTGACTTCCTACAAAGATTATGGATCACTCCTCACGCTCCTAGATCCTTGACATGAAAATGTTAAAAGTTCAAGGCTATATTCCACGACTACTTTAGATTTTAAATGTACCTTATTTATATGTACTCATTGCAGGCAACTTCCAAAACAGGAAAATATAAAACTAAACGCCAATTCCTTGACCTCACTACCAGCCTTCAGAAGCGACAGCCTGCAAGAACTCTCCCTCAGTTCTAATAACATCAGGAATCTGGAGTTCAACAAATGGGCAACTCCCATTTTGAAAATATTATCGCTCTACAAAAATTCCTTGACTTCAGTCCCAGCCTTCAAGAGTGACAGCCTGCAAGAACTCTCCCTCGGTTCTAATCAAATCATGAATCTGGAGTTCGACAGATGGGAAACTCCCAAATTGAGGAAACTCTCGCTCATCAACAATTTATTGACGTCACTCCCAGCCTTCAAGAGCGACAGCCTGGAAGAGCTCTATATAAATGGAAATAAAATCACAAATCTGGAGTTCGACAAATGGGCAACTCCCAATTTATCGAAACTCTCGCTCCCCCACAATTTATTGACCGCACTCCCAGCCTTCAAGAGCGACAGCTTGAAAGAGCTCTCTCTCCAAGGGAATCAAATCACGATTTTGGAGTTCGACAGATGGGCAACTCCCAGACTGGTGGAACTCCAGCTCAACAACAATTCCTTGACCTCCCTCCCAGCCTTCAAGAGCGACAGCCTGGAAGAAATCAATCTCAATAATAATAAAATCACGCATCTACAGATCGACAGATGGACAACACCTGAATTAATGATATTATCGCTCTCATACAATTTGTTGACCTCCCTACCAGCTTTCAAGAGCGACCGCCTGGAAGAACTCGATCTCAGTCATAATAAAATCACGCATCTACAGATCGACGAATGGACAGCTCCTAAATTGAGGAATCTCCGGCTCAGCAACAATTCCTTGACCTCAGTCTCAGCCTTCAAGAGCGACCGCCTGGAAGAACTCGATCTCAGTCATAATAAAATCACGCATATACAGATCGACGAATGGACAGCTCCTAAATTGAGGAATCTCCAGCTCAGCAACAATTCCTTGACCTCAGCCTCAGCCTTCAAGAGTAATAGCCTGGAAGAACTCAATCTCAATAATAATAAAATAACGAATCTGGAGTTTAGCAAATGGACAACTCCCCGATTGAGGAAACTATCGCTTGCCTACAATTTGCTGACCTCACTCCCAGCCTTCAACAGCTACAGCCTGAGAGAACTCAATCTCAATAATAATAGAATCACAAATCTAGAGTCCAACAGAAGGACAACTCCCCGATTGTGGAAGCTCTCTCTCACCGACAATTTGTTGACCTCACTCCCAGCCTTCAAGAGCGACAGCCTGGAAATTCTCAACCTCAATAATAATAAAATAACGAATTTGGAGTTTAACAAATGGACAACTCCCCGATTGAGGATACTATCGCTTGCCTACAATTTGCTGACCTCACTCCCAGCCTTCAAGAGCGACAGCCTGGAAGAACTCAACCTCAATAATAATAAAATAACGAATCTGGAGTTTAAGAAATGGACAACTCCCACATTGAGAAAACTCTCACTCACCTACAATTTGTTGAGCTCACTCCCAGCCTTCAAGAGCGACCGCCTGGAAGAACTCTCCCTCAGTTCTAATAAAATCACGAATCTGGAGTTCGATAGATGGGCAACTCCAAAATTGAGGATTCTCTTGCTCAGCGACAATTCCTTGACCTCACTCCCAGCCTTCCCTAGCGACAACCTGGACGAACTCCCCATCAATAGCAGAGGTTCAAAGCCGGTGGGTCGCGACATACTAGTGGCTCGCGATGGTTTTCCAGGTGGGTCACGGAAAAAACAGAATAAGTTATCTTTAGGCCTATATACGAGGGGTGTTCCTAAAGTTTACGGAGTGATTTTCTAAAAAGAATTCCTACTGTGTCGAATAAGCAGAAACTTCGCATGTATATTCTTCAACATCTCCCCTACCTTTCAACATATTTGCCCTGTTGATCCAAGCACGTTTGCACGTTGCCAGGCCAAATAATATATTGTAGAAGTCGGGCTGCTGCTGTCGGAGCCAGCTTGTTGCTGCGTCCTTGAGGCCCCCTCTTTCCTTGAAATGAATTCCCCGTAGGTGATTTTTCGGGCACCCAACGAGGTGATAGCCTGAGGGAGCAAGATCAGGCCTGTTGGGTGGATGTGGAACAACAGTCCACTGAGACTCGGCAAGAAGGGCAGAGAGTTGCCTAAGCAGTGTGCGGCCTTGCGTTTTCACGAAGAAGCAAGGGTTTCTTCCCACGCAATGCTGGGCTCTTCTTCGAAACTGCCTTCTTGAGTTTCTTCAGAGTCTCGCAGTATCGCTGAGCATTTATGGTTGCATTGGGCTCCAAAAAATCGATGAGCAATGTCCCAGAATACTGTCACCATCATCTTCTTGACAGGGGCCTGTGACTTGAACTTTTTTGGCCTTGGCGATGATGTGCGGCGCCACTCTCGTGACTATTCTTTTGTCTCAGGAAGAAAAAATGGCAGCCACGTTTCGTCTGCAGTGATGATTGGGTTCAGAAAAGAAATGCCATTCTTGGCATGTTTCTGCAACAAGTCCTAGCACATATCGTCACCTGTTTCTACTCTAGCGTTATGTTTAAAGAATCCATTTGGCTTTTGGATTTTGCGATTGCCCAATTGTCTAAGCATTTCGACAACAGCGTTGTGGCCTACCTCAAGGTCAGCAGCAATTTCACGCTCTGTGATGCGTCTGTCAGCTTGCACCAGTTAGTTATAGTCAGGAAACCATGCACGCGGACCGTGTTCTCCTCAGTCACTGCAACCGACGGCTGCACACTGCGATTCGCGTCTTTAATGGTCATCTGTCCTTCATTTAATTTTCTAATCGACTGAAAAACTTGTGTCTTGCTTAGGGCTTCCAGCCCAAACACTTTTTCCAACCGCCGATGGATTTCTGTCCCGCTAGCACCCTCCAAACACAAAAAGCGGCTCACGGAAGCTGCTGCAAAATAAGCTCCTCTTTTTCCATGTGAAGACCATGAAGGCCGCACGTAAATGATTTATGACTGCTGGAAACGTATTTTTATACCCTCAAGCGTATTTGGTTAAAATGTCTAACCTCTACGACCTTTAGTTATTTTTTGAGAAATATATTTCGGAAACTTTAGGAACACCCCTTGAATATAGACGATTGTGACTGAATGTGTGAATAACGCTAATTCTAAGAAGGTTCTAGAGAAGTTGGAAATCTGAAACTTGGTGAACAAGTACATATTGGAATGCGGAGTTCAGGGAAAAAAAATTCGACTTTGGATGTGAATGCTTTGGGGTTCCCATTTTGGGGGAGAATTTTTCAATGATATGTATGTCGCATGCAAGTTGACCCCGCCGTGCAAGTTAAACTTGCATGGTAATTCATCGTGCAAGTTGAACTTGCGCGGCAAAATCGTCGTGGGTTGACTTGAATAGTCCACCACTGCGTGCCGGTTGAACTTGCATCGGCAAACCCTTGTTCATGTTAACCCGGATTGCACATTTTCGTGGAAGTTCAGGAAGCACTTCATATCGGCCTGAATAATGATCGTATGCCTTTGGCCACCAGTACTTGCTTTATTTTAGAGCCAGCGTGTCAAAAACCATGATATGAATTAGTTTGATCACCCTAATGAATAAATGGAGGAACTGCTTCATGATGTCAAATTGTCCATGATTAAAGAATCTGCAACAACTTTGTCGATGTCTGCATTCAAGCCTTTCTGTTAAGCTCACTTTTTAAACTCATTTGTTTGGACACGTCCATGACCCGTGGCATCGAGATTTGCACTGGGCATTATTGACTACGCATTTGCACTATTTTTTTTTAGATGCATCGTTCGCAGTGACGTATTGGGGGCAGGAGTCCGGGGAGGCGGGGGGATCAGTAGCTGCCCCCCTGGTGCCCCTGTCACTGAGTCTGGCGCCCCCTTGGAGAAAATAATTGTTTCCCCTGATATCGCTTAGGTGGGGTTTGGCCCCCCCCCCCCCCCACCTGGGAACACTGTTGTTATTCGGGCTGCAAAAATATAGAATTGAATTCCGTGAGTCACAATACATGCAAAATCACGAAATCCCATGGAACCCATTCCCAGAAAGAATTGTCAAATTGTTCATTTAAATAAAAATGTAATAAGTAATGACATAAATTTATATCACACATAAAGGCAATGTCCCATGTCTTCTAAATACCAGAAAAAGTATTAAGAAATTAATAAATGTTAAAAGTTGCATGTGGGTACTTTGACACAATGTTGAACAGATAATTAGAACTAACCGTAAAATTTACGGATTACTCCAAATTTTCCGGTATCCCTCTTGTCTACAACACTCGGGCAATGTGGTTATACAGAGTGTCCCAGAAACCCAGCCCCAAGTTTTGCGCACTGTTTTCCTTTTTTTATTGTCTGAACGAGTTTTGTATCATTCGAAAGCCTAGAACTTTCTTTACAACTGCTGTTAATCCTTGATGTTCGTCATTATGGGTTGTGACTTTTTTTGCAAGAGTATTGCATACTACAAAACCCCATAACGTCCCTGATCTCATCAACGCCATTTCCATCCAACAGAATGCCATAAGCTTGGGCATGTGACAGAAAGCAGTGGATGACTTCCCCGGCGATGCCGTATGTGTCGTGATCAGAATGGGAACCTATTTTAATGACAAAAATAGTGAATCCCAGCATACTTATTCTGCTAGATGCTGGATGCTATTATAAGAAATAAATAATAAATATTAAATTGTGATGTGTTCATTCACTTAGTCTCATTCTCCATCCAAAGTTGAGGCGGGGTTTCTGGGACACAGTGTAAATCAAATATTCCATTGAACATCTGCAATCGGCATCTAACGGAAGCACTTCACATTTCGACACTTGTGTCGTTATGTCCTTCTCATAACCAAACTAATTGAAGTTGAAAATAGAACAAATGGTCTTTAAGAGGTTTTCACATGAGACATTTTCAAGGGAAAGCTGAAGAGGAAAATATATAAATGTTATAAATCGAAGCAGAGTATTTTCCCCACTGCTCCAGGTCTTTGGGCACACACGAAAGTGGACCTTAGTGGGAACCAGATAGCTACAATTGACGGGGGAATCCTTTACCGGATCCTGAAAGAATGTTCCCAGGGAGATGGCTTTCTCAACCTAGAGGGTGAGTGCCAAGGTTACCCAACTGCTTTTTAAATTGTTTTTCTTACACTCTCACCCTTCACTAACGTTATTCCAGACAATCCTATCCAATGCGACCCTAGAATAGCATGGTTGGCGTTTGCTCCTGAATCGATGAAAAAATTAAAAGGGACATGTGGAAATGGGACCGACTTGAAATACCCTGATTCGACGGAAACACTGAGACAATATGCATTCGAGGCGATGACAAATCCATGCCGTCTTCAACGTCCCGACGACGTAGGAGGTGTAACATCCATCGATTCGCATCATGCATGCTTGTGCGATGGAGGTACTCTCAACACTTCACTCGCATGCCCTAAAGGGACCCAAGTCGGCTGCATCAACCTCGTTGCAATTGTTCCACCTCGCCATGAAAATGTAAGTCTGTATTCGGCCATGCATACCATAAAGGAATCATGAGTTAAGTACGGCGAAACATCAAAGGATAGGATGAATATTATTGCCGGTTGTAGGCAGATGTGACCGGTTGTGAACCACTTCCTGGCATCAGAAACGGACGCTTCGATATTCTCTCTTGCTCTGATGATGGTCTGAGGTAGGATTATTCAATCATGATCTCATGTTTTCGTAGGAAGGACGGGGTTAGTTTCCCTTCTTCTCGAAATTGTATGTATAAAAGTTACCATACAATTGCACGATCGCTATGGGAATTGCTTTGATTTTTTTTGTGCACCTCAAGATGAAACATCGGTTTTGTGGGAAAAATTCTTTTAAAATTGTAATGATCCTCGTCAAAAAGTTCGTCGGACCGATCCTACGGCGCCGCTCGCTATGCGTCCGACAATTCCTATGTAGTTATAACATTAGGATTGACTACTGACAAAACTCCATATTTCTTTCAGTTCCAAAAACCGATCTGAATGCATTCAGGGAAGGAAATACCTCATCGGAAGTAAAGTGAAATACACGTGTGATATTTATTATACTCTTCGGGGTCCACGTGTTCGAACATGTAGAGCGAATGGAAAATGGTCTGGCCCTGACCCACTCTGTGAACCTGGTCTGTTTTCATCGAAAAATGGTTTCAACGTTCTGTAGACTTCCAGATGACGGAATTGAGTAGTGGGTTTTTCTGCGCTTCTAGAGTGCGGCCGAACCGGAAACACGATCGCAAAGCCTCAGCGATTGGTTCGTGGAGGGAAGGCAGCAGCACTTGGGGCATGGCCTTGGCAAGTGGCCATCTACGATGCGCAGGTGGAATATATCATCTGTGGAGGAGCTCTCATTGGAAGGCGATGGGTTCTAACAGCAGCCCATTGCGTCGCGGAACTCAACGATATAATTACAGTTCGAGATGTGCAAGATTTCTTCATCCATCTCGGCAAGCACTATCGAAATATGTCCGAGGACGACGAATTCGTACAAATTATGAAGGTACAGACCCAAAAGCACTTCGCGTTACTTGCAGGTCAAAATACATTTTCGATCCCAGATGGAATAATGTCCCCCGTTGCTTGCAGGTGATTCAGATCTTCGTGCATGACGAATACACCGGCTTCGAGTCGGACATTGCGCTGATGAAACTCCACGGTTCGGCTAATCTGACGAGGAGGGTTCAGGTGATCTGCCTTCCGTCCAATGATGACCTGTCTGATGACTTTTTAGACGGTTCTCAAGATGAATTTGGCGGCCCTCACAGAGGATGGGTAAGCCACGATCATTGGAATGCCATCATTACTTCAGTCTTTTTTTCACGTATTGACATAATTTTTAAATCAGGTGGCAGGTTGGGGAAAAGACGCTTCAGACGAAGGAACGGATGCCTTGACTGAGGTGCAACTGACAGTCACATCAAAGCGTGAATGTCGAAATAGAATCCGCATTAAAACTTCAGACCACCCAGCTTCCATCACCAGGAACACGTTTTGTGCAGGAGAACGCAGCAATGTTTCCTCATTCGTGAATGAGGACGCGAAAGGTATGAGAAATCTCGTCATTTCAATCGGGTACGACTAGTAAGTTTTTCAATTATTTCATCCGCACAGTATGGAAGTGCATGCAAGAAAGACGTGTGTGATGCAGTATGGACGTGGTTAGAAATCGAACTATACAAGTGGTATATCATGGATTATGTGATTTTACTACGAGAAATGTAAACGACCATGCTGCACACAGTCGCAGCATCTCTGTGATTCCCGAAATATTTCATGAAATCCAGTATATTGAATTCCAAGTTTTTTTCTCGCAGAATACGGGACGGTGTGTGAAGGGGATTCGGGGAGTCCCATGGTCTTCCCATCTCATAGCCTTCTGAAAAGTCAATGGGTGGTCGAAGGAATCGTCAGTCATATCTATGTGAAGTCGAGGCAAGATTGCTCCAATTATGAACCTGGCCAGTATGGTGTATTCACTAGAGTCAATAAGTGAGATATATCTTCTTCTCATAGCTCTCCTATGTTAAGCCGTCTCGAAAATATCTTTAAACAAATTTAACGAAAATGTGCATTAGAAAAGATGCATGCTTTTACGATTCTTTTTCGTCAGAGGCTCCTCATGAATAATCGATGAAGTATTGTGAAAATCATTTTTCAAAGGCCTTCCGTTGCTTCCACCTCAATCCCACCTACCAAGGTGGGATTAAGTCATATTTCATTCCTGTTGTTGCTTTCAGAGAATAATACAAGGAGATACAATTTTGTTATAGGGCGGGGTTGAAGAAAGGTAATAGGCTCTACCATTGATTTACAGTTTCCATGGAGTTACATTGGAACATTCCAGAGTGATAGAGCATAATTTATTTCCCCTTTTGATATGGCTTACAATACGGTTTCTGAGCATGAGCAAAGATAAAAACGTTAACTCTTGATGATGGGAATACGATTTTTTGTTAGGTCCAAGGATTCTGACCTCACTCGCATTATTCATATTTTATTGATGCGTGAACCCCATCTTCATAATTAAAACTATTAACTTATCTCCACCGGGAAGGACTAAAAAGAGCATTAAGATGTTTACGCGCTCATGAGCACCAGTTATGAACTTTGCTTTACTGAATTATCAATACTTCTAAAATTAATTTTAATATATGAGCAGTGACAGATCAAATGCTCATAATTCAGAAAAATGAACGATGGCTCCAAGCTCACAGAAGGAAATATAAGCTCAAACATATTTTTCAGCCATTGGACCCCCCACCTAATCGTATAATTTCTGTAGTTCACCGATGGCGGAATTTTTCAATGATTTTTGATAATTTTTTGGATTGCTAACCCCTTAATGAGGTTCTTTTCCTATCAGGTTTGTCGAGTGGATCGAGGAGACCATGTCGATGAATTCATGAACACATGTGTGAAGATCCATAACTTCGCAATCAACGCAATTCGAAAGGCGACCAGAGATTTCACATTCGGCAGGGGCTATCCGGGCGGGGCCGAAAGAGAAAATGGAAAAATCAAGTGCGACCGCTGCGATAAATGATTGATCATCGTAGCTGGAATTATACAAGCAAGAAAGTGAAAATTAATATAAAATGCCAGAACCTGTTATATGCGTCTAGTTCGATTTTTGAAATTCACAGCATCATAAAACTCGTCGACTTCACGTATGCAGTACTTTTAATGTATTCTGCTGGGGAAAATGTTCAGTTCAACTGCAGCAGCTTGTCGAACTTTCATCTGCGTTCCGTCTCCTGTCGTACGAAACTACGTGAATTTGTAAAACAAATGCGGAGTGAAAACTAAAAGGAGAGCATTGAAAAATCCCCTTCTTAATATTTTTTAACGTTCGTTTCAATGCAGTATCCTTAGTTGTTGCTAAATCTTTCCGCACTTTTCCTCGAAGAATGTATTATTTCCCTAGATGTGTCATGTAAAAAAAACACTAGCTCAGGGAAAAAGAGACTCCACGTTAGTAAGGTATTCGATGAAAAAATTATTCATGGAAGCTCTTCAACGAGAAGATCCATGCTGTCCTTCCTTCCAGGAACACAATTTTTGTGAATTGCCTTTTGTTCCAGGCTTTTTATCAAGCAGAATGCGCCTGCACGTGTGGCTTCTCAGGTGTCTTCATCTCTCCTCAATTATATTAGATGTTCAGCATTCTATGATTCTTCAACGATGAGAAGTTTTGTTATTCATGCACTAATATGAATGAAACTGCTTTATGTTTCATGATTTAACCTGTATTTGCAAAAGTTTTGATTACGCGAGATGGTTTTCAGGAGCGAATGTCTTTATAAGACAGTCAGGCGAATGCCTTCATGGGCATACTTTTTGTAAACAAACCCTTTTTGTCATTGACATTACAAAAAGTATTTGTTTTACCACAAGGGAGACGCATATTTGTTCACAAAGATATCTAACGAAATCAACATCGAAACTTCCGTTCAAGCTTTTCCCAAACGAAACCAACTCTCGAGATCTTGTGGGAGAATCGATTAGAAAATAGGTAGTCGGGCCAGTGGCGTTTGAAGTGGACGACATCCCTGCGTCTCACGCCGTACTCTCACCAGCGGTAACCTAGAATTGGGAATTGGGAACCCTGGGATTTCGGAATGTGGAAACAGGAATGGATGCATTTCAGATGGTTGGATGATTACTTTAAGGGTGATCGCATTGAGTTGCACACGGTCCCTTGGTTCAGAGCAGTTCATGGTAATGTGTGTCCTTCTGGTTTTCCGGGAACTTTTCCATTGGCGATGGTTCTCAGTTTCCTGATGCCGTTCAAGCCAATGAGCACCATCTCCTATCTGCTGCAACTACGCATCGAAGGGAAGATTGCAGCTCGGGAAATTATTATCAACGGAAATTGAAAAAAGCTGGACTGTCATAATGTTTCGATCGATGTATCGTTGTCATTATCGATGGATGGTTCGCGTCCTGTTTACATACTACTGACAAACGATTTAGCAACCCTGTGATTTTCAGGAATAAAATACATGTTATCCAACTATGAAAATATCAACTTTTTCATTTCATGAGGGAAATTTTGCAATTTAAGTTTTCCTGAAACAAGGTATGCCCAGTTTGGTGTTACACGCAACTCCAGGTCAAAGGCAAGGAAAATTAAACCGATTTTCGCAGAGGAAATTGTCTCCACTTGTGAGCTTTCAGTAACGACTATAAACACGCCTTGCTCTTTGATATGCTCGACGGCAGCTTCTCACTCTGCTGGCGATCCTCTGGTTCTGTCCCTGAGGGACGATGGCCCACTTCCGCAGCAGAGGAACTTGATGTTACAGAATGAGAGGAGGTTGTGGTCGGTGATTAAAAAGGTTGTCCAGTCGGTTCCGAACATGCTTGAGGGACACCAAGTCCGGTGAATTGGTTTGCCAATCCACTCTCTTGACTTGATTCTGCAGCAGGAATTGGTTGACCTCCTGCCCAAAATGAGGTCTGGTATCATCATGTTGGAGGGTGGCCCAGTGTCGCATTTTTCGCAAGTAATATGGAACAACAGGTTTCAGGTTTTCATCTCAGTAACATCGCATTGTCATATTTCTATGCACAATATGCAGAGGACATCTACTGATGACATTGACACTTCCCCACACCTGCTGATGTTGGAAGGTTTGGCCTCCACCAAATCGATCAAGTTCTCGAAAAGCAGCATTTGCAAACTTCTCCACCCTGCGTCTGTACACGTCACCTGCTGATATTAGAGCAAACAGTGAAACCTGAATCATCTGGAAACAGCACCAAACGCCTTCGCTCTTGATTCCATAAAATGCGGGCTCTGTGCCACTCATAGTAACGTCTCTGATTAACTTGTGTACAGGGACACACTAATGCAAAATGGTGAGCTAGAAGACACGTGGCTAGGAGATGCCTCTTGACCCTTTCCGGTCATGTGTTTGGCAGGACCAGACATTAATGAAGATTAGTTCCGGTCATATGTCGGGTGTTTTTCTGCCATTTATTACAATATTTTACTTCACACGACATCTACCGATTGTATTTATCTATCTACCGACCGGCATTTGAAATGATTTGTTGAAATGTGTTTTTATCTTTTTTCATTGAAATTAAATATGACCTGAGGGGACAACTAGTGGAAAATAAATATGACCGCAAAGGGCTAATTTATGTTCGACCCTGCAGTACCATAGTAGCTGCCACCAAGGCGTTGCTGTCATGGTCACGTCCTTGAGAGCTGCAAACTGGTGAAACCTGTCTTGATTCGGTTTGGCGGTTGTAGGGTGTCCAGACCATGCCTGGTCCCATTTGTTGTTAATATTGTCAACCCGCCATTAATGGGGATATGGTCGATATAGATGTGGCTGCCAGTGGAGTCTTAGTTCCTTCATTCCATCGCCACTCATTTCATTTCCGTTAAAAAGAAATTTCCACTGATATAAAGACAAGGATACATACGTATCCCAATTGGAAAGGGAACGATTTTGCCGGCTGACATCAATGTCGTTCCATGTCACGGTTGGCATATACAGTGAGGCACAAAACTGTTCCAATGTTCGACACATTGCCAGTTTATGACTCATATCTCGAGTACGACGTGTTCAATTTGGAATACGTTAGATGACGAAGTAGTGGCTGCCCCAACTGTGACTATCTTTAAGAAGAAACTAGATTCTTTCATGGACAGGCAAAATGTTGGGGGGTAATGTTGACGTTAGGTACTAGACAGTAAGCAACTAGGATAGTAAAAAAAAAATGCTAATATATATAGACGATCGTGACTGACTGACGCTAATTCTAACCATGATCTAGAAGGGTTAGACATCTGAAAATTGGTACACATGTACCTTTGGGGATGCAGAGTTCAGAAAAATATCCCACTTTGGAGGTACATGATCTGGGGGTACACATTTTGGGGGGAAACGTTTTTCTTAAATATATTTTGTGACAGATGAGGATGGCATTCAATTAACTCTTGGGATATCCTGGGTTCGGTGGTGTAGTAGCAGCATCGCTGACTAGCAAGCAGAAGGTTCGGGTTCAATTCTCGGCCATTCCTTGTCTTCCTTTTGGCTTTTTTTGCCTTTCATTTCCCATTACTCATTCCCCCAACATAACAATATTTTTGCTGGAGTGAAACGGAGAGACATGCAAAAGCTGAAACTTGGCATGGACGTGCCTACCGAGACGATGAGTTCGGGAAACGTGATAAATTTTATATCCATGCCCTGGAGGCATATTTTTGTGAGCCGACGTTTTCAAGCATTTTTTTTGTCCAGGCGTATTGAGCTAGTGTGGAATAAACGTATAATATTGAAACGTTTTGGGCATGTAGTTCACTGAGGATGGATTTCGGTAAGGAAAAAACTGTACGTTTCGGTTAAAACGGCTCAGGGCACATATTTTGAAAAAGCCGTATTTTCACGAATTTTTTGATCCAGCAAAATAGAGGGCGCATGAAAGTTTAAAAAAACTTGGGAAATTAGTACCTGATGGATAACTGCGTAAAGAAAAAATTCTACTTTTCTAATACTGTATATATTGACGATCGATGACTGACTAACGCTAATTCAAAAAGGGGAAACGTATAAGGCTGAAACTGGATGGCATGGAGTTCCCTGAGTCTCCATTTCAGAAGAACAAATTTTTCTCGCTAAAACTCATCAGGCTCATTTTTTAAGTCCCATTTCCCTGAATTTTTTTTAAATCCAACGAAACAGAGACAGAAAGAGTAAACCTCCCTCAGAAATACCTGTTTAATGGCTGAGTGCAGGAGAAATCCTTCTTTTGAAATATGTCTCCTTTGCGTAGATTATTGGAGGGAAGTATTTCAAAATGTATTCTCCACCCTCACTAAAAAGGACACAAGAAAAGATTTAGAGTTTGGCACACGCATAATCATAGAAGTAATGATTTTGATAAAAATCAAGACTTTCGACCCCATATGTCACGTATTTCAATGGGGACGTACTTTACGTGTTTCCCATTTCGCAAAAAATGAATGAATTAATCACTCTCCAAGGTGCGCCGAAGGTGCGAACATAGCAAATATAAATATTTAGCTTCAAGAGGGTTAGGCCTACCCTAAAATTAAGCAACGCTCGTCCTCGATACGTGATATCGATATGGGCGAAATCGCCTCTTGATATCACTAACTATCCTGAAATCCTGAAATTTAGCTTAAATTTCAATCATACTCCTACTTCCTGGCTTTCGATCGGCGCTAGTCACGTGTCAATTGGCCTCCTATTGTCCAAGTGGCAGTTGTTCAAAGCGAACAAGGTCATTGCAACAGATTTGTCCCTTTCACTCAGACATACGAATAAAATTGCTGCTTCTGATCGTCACACTCTTCATTGCGCATGAATCTCAAAAACATAGTAGTAGACACAATAGACCTCTCTCTATTTAGGGCGCTGGACACTCATACTTTCGTATACTTGTGTAATGCGCTGTTGGTTGGCATGACCGGTAGTAATGCGCGCACCTCGTGGTACCTCGATATCTACAAGCAATTTATATTCATCGTTGCGAAAAATGAAGGATGTTAGAACTTCTCCTCTCTGGAAGGTCCGTATTGGTCAATATGAAATCAGCTGTTAGACAAGGATTCCTATGTAGACTGGGTTCCACACAGAC